ATTATCGATCCACACTAAGAATATCAATAAGAAGTCATTCGTTCCATTTGCACCGTTATGCAGAACGTGTCACGTGCAACGTATCTAATATTAGCTTCAATCAGTGGCAATAAAGAAGGAAATAACGTCACGAATACACGTGCAATACTTTATCTTGCACATGTGACGATTCTCTTCGCGAATATATAAAGGTACCTTAATCCCAAACGATGGGACTCGTCTACTCGCGCGAACGTCGTCGTTAGCTCACGAAATCTGTTGCAGTTCGCCGAGAGTATCGTAAAACTGTAACGCATGACTTGGCCAATACACGCAGTAAGACATTAATTCACTTTAACATATTTTACGACGACATTATTATGCATTTCTGGTTAGAAGCGCACATTCTTTCGCGATAAATAGCATCGCAATACCAATCGGTTTTGCGATCGGAATGAGGCAACGCTCGGAGTGCGAACCACGTATTTAAAGGCAGAATAAATCGATATTTCAAAAAAGGCGAAATTATTTCTGTTCTCCAAATATCCGCTCGTGTGCCGACAATGCGCGAGATCGAGACTCAGAAGGTTCTCCAGGACGAGCAGTGCTTCGAAATAATTCGCAAGAAGCTGCGACAGGACGCGATGGATAGCTTCTCGCTGGTCAACTTCGAGATCGTGCCGATAGATGAAGTGAACGGTTTTTTAGGCCAATACTTTACTCTAAGAGCCACCGTGGCCTGTCCGAAATCACCGCTGGAGACGAGGAACATCAACTTTTTCACCAAGGTGCCGCCGCCGATCAGCAGCCCGCTTTACGATTTAACTCAGGCGTACGGTACGTTTAAGAAGGAAGTGGCTCTCTACACTACGGTATTCCCGGAAATGCTGGGCGGTCTTGACAAGGGATGCATCCCGGAATGTTTCCTCGGGATCGAGAACGACGTGATCGTCCTCGAGGATATGGCTCATAGCGGCTATACGATGACTGACAAGACCACGCCTTTCGACTTTGAGCATTGCGAGATTCTGATAAAGATGCTCGCCAAGTTTCACGCGAAATCCTTCATCTTTGAGCAGCAGTATAAGAAAACTTTGCACGACGAATTTTCTCATTGCATGCACGAGACTCTCTGGCCGTGCGCGGACGACAAAGCTAAGGCGATGGTCGACGCCGCCGTAAAAGGCATCGTCTCGATGATTGACTTACTACCTGAATTAAATGATGATCGGCGCAGTGATTTTAAAGAAAAAATCGTGAAATTATGTGCAGATCACACGGACAGACTATCACCGTCGGTGAAACACAAGAACGTGCTATGCCACGGTGATTTATGGGCAAACAATATATTGTTTAAGTACGATACCGATAAGAGACCTGTTGAATGCTGCCTCATTGATTTCCAACTGGCAAGGTAACTATATGTGTACTTCTTGAAATATAAAAAAAAAGAAATAAGTTTTGTACTTGCGTAAAAAGTTTTAGATATAAATCTAATTTTTCGATTAGCCATAATTTTGTAAATTATCATTTTAGTAATCATAAGAGTATATAAGAGTAAAGCAAAGACGATTATAATTCTTATTAATTTTTTACATCGATGCAAGGTACAATCCACCAGCGCACGACATATTGTGTTTTCTCCAATTCACAACTACGCGGAAGCTACGAGAGGAACATAGCGAGACGCTTTTTAGACTCTACCACGATTCTATGGCGATAGTCATGAAAGAAGCTGGTCTTAATATATCAGAGATTTTCTCTTGGGACGAATTTGCTGAATCCATTCGAGATTTACGTATAATGTGCCTAATTCACGGTATACTAAATACACCGATCATGCTGCTGGAACCTAACACGGCCAGTAAATACTTTGCCGAGAAACCGGAGCTCCTTGAAAGTATTCTGTACGTTGACAGAACGCCACTCATTTGCGAGCAATTCAAGGAAGCACCGAAATATCGTGCCCGTATGATAGACAGCTTATTAGAATTGTACGATTATGTAACTGGTTAACTACCACACGACATAATCGAGCTGTAAAAGGATAACAAAGTAGTCAAACTTCCTCACTAAAGTATTACCAGACGTAAAGCTCAAGAAAAATGTATTTTAGATTTAAGACAAATAAACAGAAGGTCTTGATATTAATAGATATTCTTCAACAATAATAAGATAGACATCTTGACATTAATATTTTCAATAAAATATAATAAATGTAATGTTATACATGTGCAACATAAATAAAGCGTAATCATCGTGCTTGACTTGCAAATATAAAACCTTTTTCTTTAGATTTATAAAATTTTGAAAACATTTATAAATAGAGAATAATGATGATATTCTAGAATAACGAATTATTATTGCGTTAACATGATTCTGTATAGTGCGAGTACTTACTTTTTACGTGTAAGGTTTCAAGCAATTATTAATAGCAGTTATATCAGTAATTTGTTCCACATGTAGTGATAACTTTGCGACATTGCAAACTAACTCTGGATATTTGTTAAAATATTCTATTAACAAATTTTGAAATATTTTCAATAGTGACGTGCTATCTTTTCTTATTTTTAAGAAATTTTGATTATTTTAATGTCGTAATTATTGATCATGAGCGTGTAAACATTTACGTATACTTTCTTAAATGTAGATTGCATGTGATATTATTAATAACTGTGATATCTGATAAAGCATATTATTATATGGTTATCATATAGAATAAAACTAAATCGATGTTCTTGTTGACAATAAAAATAAAGAAACATTTAAAAAATTTATTTTATACTTACCTCTTAAATTTTATCATTGCTTTCAAATGTAAAGAGTTGATAAATGAAATAAAATTTATATTTTAACGCATTTAATAGATGCATTTAATAAATTAAAATAAGAGTCAAAAAGAATGTAGAATGTCGGATCCAATCAACAAATAAATCTGCTGAATTAATGCAGTATCTAGCTGCATTAGAGTAAAGAAGTTATAAAATTTAACTTTTTCATACAAATTATTAAAAATTTTTAAATCAAATGCATCTATATAATCTTAATTTTTCAGGAAAAAGACTTTCCATAAATAATAATATAGAATATATATTTAAGTACTTTTACTTTGATCTATCAACCGTTAGAAATATTTAATACATGCTAATAAGCAACATGCAATTCGCCAATAATAAAATAAATATATATTGCAATTCCTGGTGGTAACTTAAAAATAATCCTCTTTTTAAAATTGCAACACTTCTTCACTGAACTATCAAATTCTATATATATACATAGCTATATAAACTACGTGACAAATACAAATCGTGAGCTCACGGATAATCCTGCCGGCATATCAAACAGACAATCCGAAAAGAAACAATGCTATCGGATTGTAGTGGAGGCACTTTAACGACATTTTTACGGCACGAACGTACGATGAAACGATTGTTATGCCGACAGTTTCATCCTGCTCAACACAGGTTTGTAAAGTACTTGTCCTTTTATTACAAAGTGACGTGGATCCGCATATCGAAACGCGAGGCATAGGGGGACTCTCTGGGGGATTTACTCTTTTATGTATATAATTATTTATATCATCAATTATAATGAATATATAGTTATGTACAATATTGAATCTCATTCTTTAACAATAACATCAACAACATGATTAAACAACGTTCCTCATTGGTACACAAATTGTAAATGTACAGATAAAAAAGCATTAGATGAGGTCAATGAGGTGGCGTACGCTCAGCGCGCCATTAATTTCCTCTTCTTTTTTTTACATTTTTTTAAATCCCCATATATATATACTTATATCTTGAACCATTTTGAGTTCTTTGTTCGATTTTTCATGGGCTTATATATATCTATATATATGTATATACTTCAAAGTATATACTTCGTTTAGACACACACGTTCCACATACACACAAATGCGTCAGATTTGCTCCGCGCGACGCAACGAGAACATGATGACGGTTGATGATATCGATTGAATCGGTGCGTGATTTAATCCATAAAGAGAGTGCATGAGTGATTCGCGACGCGCGATTGGCCAGCCATAAATCTCTCGCACAATTTGCAAATTTGCCGAATAATATAACTGATTTATTTTAAAATAATATCGCGAGGATTATCGTAATTACGAGGAAATCGCTTTTCCGGGTCAATTTATAATCTTCCGTATGTCAAAGAGATATGGTAAATTATGGAAACGTTGGCAGGAGTAAATCAACAAGTGTCTTTTAAATTTTGTCATCTTTTTTAACTCGGCTCGCCCCGCGCGACGCAAATCTCGACCAATCATCTAAAACTCTACACAAGGCTCCAACGAGTTTTCTTTTTTTTTTGTCGCTTGATAAACGACTTCCACAAAATCTAACGCACGAATTTGTATTATTTTCGTATAGAATCGCATCAAGGCGAGACAGAGCTGCCGAAACTCTCTCGTAGCTCACTCCGGCGCTCAAAACGCGAAGGACTCGCTCATATTCTCATAGTTCACCGACAAATGTTCCTTCGTCGAAAACTTAAGAAAAAAAAAAAGAAAAAACATCGGACTTTCTTGAGAATAAAAACGATATGCATGAATCTGATACGTGTTTATCAATCGAGATTTTTGTCTTACAGCTTTCTCCTAGCCAATTTTTCTGTCATTTATTTTTATTTTATTTGGTGCATCGATCATAGTCTCTTTAACGAAAAGAAAAAACAATTTGCGAATTTGCAAGAATAAAAATTTCTAGCATTCGTTCTCGCAATTCCTTCGAGACATTGTCACATTTTCCAAAAATTTCTCAAAAATTTAACAATGGAAAACGCGAAATTTGTCTACACAAAGTGCACTTGAAAGCTTGAAAGATAACTTTTTGCAATAAATTTGCAAATAATTTCTCCTTAGTAAAACTTTGAAAAGAAATTATTATTCCGCTCTAAATAGAAAAATTTTAATTATGAAATAAATGTTTATATTTCCAATAATTTTTTATTTATCACAATAAAAAATATTTAAAGCAATTTAAAATTTAAACTCTTACAATTTAAATGTTCAAAATACTTGAACTTTGCGACACTAAACTTAAGACCATTTACGAAAATTGGAGAATATTTCTCTCCTAATTTTCATTTTTTAGATACATTGTGTACTTGGCATTCGATAATCATCAAAGCTTTCTTATTAAATTTATAAAAAAAATTCCTTTTACTTATTTTTAAAATTTTCTTGATGCAAATAAAAAACAAATTCATATATTAACCAGTTTTTCATTCTGTTCTTTCCTCTCGCAATCTCTTTCTTATTCTTCCGCCTCCTGTTACTATGATTGAACGTTTTAATCTCATTGTCTCAAATCTCGATTTGAGATAGGCAGCTGGAAGAAAGAGGAAAGACGAAAATATAATGTCTATTTATGTGAGTACAATTCCTCTTAAGCTAAATCAGTTCGGAAACGTAATTCTGCAACCGTCGTTCGATGTCACAATATTTTAAGACGAATCTCAAATTCCATTATTTTAAACTTAAAATATTTTGAACATTGTGAGAGAGAAATTCTGTACTACGAATGTATGTATATGATATATTTCATATCATTTTTTTTTACAAAAATATTTGTTTTATATAGATAAAACATCTCATGAAAGAGAAAATCCGAAACATCTAATTGCAAGCCGAACTGAATTAACAAATGGAATTATAATCGTCATATAAGGATCTAACAATGAATTTACATCTTCCTCTGACATATACCTTATGAATATACAGAATTCTATATTCTTTGAATAAAATAAATTTTATCCCATATTGACACATCAAAATTTCAAAATTTTGTAACTGACTAATGTATTCCAGCGGTTCGTTCCGCGGTTATAAAAAGTATTATAGAATATCAACTTCGCAATTCAAAGAAACATCTCGTTCGAATAAAACACACACGCTTCAAAAAGAGTTTTGCACCATTCAAATTTCTAAATTTCTAAACTGTACATGTAACCATCCTCTGAATTGCACGATCGAAAAGATAATCCATCAGGTGAATTAATTAATAGCAAAAAATATTAATTCTTCTGTCTCATTGTCAGTACATGAATATGGCGTAACAGGTGGTGCAAAACTATATTTGGTTTGTGCTGACAACGAAGTATTTTCACAATGCAGTTTCGCATAATCCGGCGACAAAAGTCAAATATTCCATCGACAAGATACCTTTCTCGCGCGAACCGCGAGATTTTAAGACCCTGCGTGAGCAACAACCATCGGACTAGTTGCACCGACATCGTCCAGCGCTGAATACAATTAAGTTATTTAATTTTCCTTATCATTACACAAGCGTTTCGCGACTTTTACTATTCAAGTTGTTAAGCTATTCATCTCCGTTCGCGTTATCAATGCCTGCCTCTACAGAGGAACGATAAACTTGTCGACCGGAAATTAGCCCGTTCGGACTGTCAGTGCAGCTCAGCCCTGTGCGACCGGCGCTATGTGTCCTTTTGTACTTGACAGGGTGCGTGTCCACTCGCGCGCCTCGCCTTGCTTATCCTTTTTTTCTTTTTTTTTCTCTTTTTTGACGCACTCGAGCTATACATAGAAAGTTATGTACAACGATATTAACATGAACTGCAGTGGCAGTGAACAGTGCACGTGGATATTGCAAACAGCAGCAGCAGCAGCAGCAGCAACAGCAGCAGTAGCGGCAGCAGCGGCGGCGGCGGCGGCGACGCCGATGATGACGACGACGACGACGACGAGGACGACGACGACGACGACACGACGACGATGATGACAATTATACAAGGTGTATGCGTAATACGAAACACGGCAGCGACTACCACAGCTAGTTTCTTAATCTGTCTGCTTCGCAAATCCCCTTTTTTCTCTCTCTCTCTCTCTCTCTCTCTCTCTCTCTCTCTTCCTCTCTCTCTCCCTTCTACTGCTTGCATCTTCAGTTTGCGGGCATCCGGTCTGCGATCCTGTGGTGATCAAAGCGCGGAAGATCGCTGTCTCGCGGCGGCCGACACGTAGCCTGTGTCGTTTATCGTCGTCTCGAATTTTTCGCTTCATTTTTCGTTTATCGCTTTTTCCGTCTCTATGTTGCCACTTTTCTTCCGAAGAACAGTCCCACGCATATGCTGTGCAATCTCCGATTTAATTCTCAACTTTGCATGTATGTGCATGTATATATACATATAGAAAGAGAGAGAAAAAGAGAAAAAGGTAGAGGGAGAGACAGAGATGTTTGATGTGTATAAGTAAGTACATGTATGTAGGTCGAATTGTGGATTCATGTGATTGCGCGTACGCGATGATGTACATGTCTGTTCTCGTACGTGTTTGATTACATGTGCGTGTTTCTTTTCAAGTATGAGCGATAGGATCCGCGTTGTACGCGCGCACACGTATGTACGTGTAGCAAGAGAAAGAAAGATAGAGAGAGAATGTATGAAAGTCAGCGAGAAGAATGTACATGTGTGTGTCTGTGTATGAAAGGAGAGATATAGAGTATTTATGTATAGGTGTGTATCCGTGTAGTTCTTTTACATGTATATTTTTCTTCCTTCTTTATATATATATATATGTACGTCCGTATATATACACACGTGAGTTTCACAAAAATATATAAAAGAGAGAATGTCTATGTGTGTATACATATATATATATATATGTGCATATATACCTATAATGTATATATACCGATATATAGACGATTTATACTTAAAGTTGTGTGGAAAAGGGTATTTTATCGTAGTTTTAACTATATGTATATATGTATACGTATATATACATACATATTTATATATATATGGAGCCTGTAGAAAGTGCTTGATTGAGATTTTTTTCCTTTCGGTTTTAGTCGTAAAACAAGACACACGAGGTAAAGGTTGCGCGTAGTAGTCCGGCACCGTCCACGAGAGTCCGACGCGAGATCGGGACGAGAGGAGACTCTTCGATGAGGGACATCGACGAAATCGTGTCCAGTTCGCTGCACTCCTCCTCCTCCTTCCGTCGTCTCGTCGCCCTCTCACAGCACGTTGAACGACGGTGTTCTCAGGGTTACGTATTATATACATTAACACGTGCCGGAAAAAAAAGAAACCGGAGACTTTTACTGTGACGGCGATTGTTTTTCCGTTTTCCACCGCGCAGGATACCGCAATTCCACAGCGCTCGTCGAGGCTAAGCCACGTGCTAAAACTTTAAGCTATATGTTCCTTTCTCCCGTCCACTATCCTCTTTCCCAGCCGCAAAAGATCGATAGGGGGCTTAATAACACAGTGTTACGCTTTGCGAAATGTCTGATTCAGTCCTTATAGAATCATCTTCGAACGAAGATGATTATCTCGAATAAAGAAAGAGAGATGTGTAGCTACCCTCGGACCGCATAGCATCATGCCGTTTTCCGTTGCCCCTTCCATTGTCCTCCTTTTCTCGCACATCCTTCTTCATCCTTCTCCTCGTTTCTTCGCTTCTTTGATAACTTGTTCTTTAGGCTTCTTTTTCCCGAGTCCTCGTTCCGGCGATTGAGCATCACTCTCGAGATATTCAATGACTCGGTGAAAACGATTTCCATGCGGGGCAAACGAGGTAAAACTTCTTAGGAGTGATCGAATCGGCGAATAAGCGTTGTTATGCACTGTCGCTGTATGTATCGGTCGATCGAGGAAATGGATATGATTGCAATCCGCCTTGTGAACGATAACTCGCGATAACTCGTTGATAATGCGCGACATCAGACAGTGGTGTTCGTCGACGAAGACAGGACAGTTGTAGGGACGACGGACTGCACGATGGTTTCTAATGCATGATTAGATGTAAGAATATGGTCCATCGGTGAGGGCGCTACACAGCAACAATCAGGAGGAGTCGTCCTTCCCTCGGGCACCTCTGCTCGGCCTGTATTCAAGACCCGGGTCGAATTGCATCAACACGAAAACCTGGCAAATTAGAAATAACGAATCGGTAAAGTAATTTGAATTGCTTCTTATAAATTAATTTTGAAATTGTATACGATATTAAGTTACAGAGCTAGTAGTTACTATTATAAATTGTTGGATTTCTATATTTTCGCTGTTATTAAATATTATATTAATAAATTTATTATAAATCTTAAAAAATACGTAATGAGATTATCTAAAACGTGATACCTGATCTGTGGGTAATAATGTGAAGTCATCGGGTGGATTTGTGATCACGTATCGTTTGGAAGAGGCGTCGCACGACGAGCTAGTGTCTCGAAACCTAGAAAATTCGAGTTAATGTCAGCGAATAAGAAAAGAGATAGCAGTGAAACACAAGCTGAGCTATAGACACCAAGTGTAACTAATTAACTAATCAAAATTGAGCTAAGTTAAGCTAAACTAAAATTAACTAAGCTAAACTTAATTAAACGTATGTGGACCGTATGACGAACAACTAAATGCTAAATAAACAACAAGATGATAAAGACAGAGAAAGAGAAAGAGAGAGAAAGAGAGAGAAAGAGAAAAAGTAGTAAAATGATAGGTATTTTTTGGATGAGGGCAACTTACAACTCGTTGCTTTTCATTACTTTCTTTTTTCATGATGCTTTTCATGATGCAAAAACGCAAAATGTAAAAAGTGTGCGGCAGAAAATCATAAGTCATATAGTAAGTACGTGAATAGTAAAAGGTAATAAACGGCGGTACAATAATGGCAGCAATCGGAGTGGTCGCTGTTTTCGAACGGCGGTAATATGTACAAATGTATAGAAATATATGTGCGTAGGGTAATCCAATAAATACCATCGAGATAGGGAAAAAAGTCCAATACCTGTACCTGTACAGACCAATGCACAGCATTCCGTACGACTTTAATGCTGCGACAAAGAGGTCACCGTACTTGCCTCCCTCGCCATATTGAGCCAATGGCCCGTCGTACAACGCGATCTGACCAACACGACACCGATCCCTATTAGACAGGCTATCTGCCGTACTGCGAATCAGACAAAATATCGCGTTTAAATATCGTTGAAAAATTCTCCACGTTTGGATATTATCATTCCAAGATCTTACCTATACCCTCCCCTTAAGCCTGCCCCTTCAGCCAGGATCAATTCCAACTCAGGCGTAGCTCCACCGGTGATCAGTGACCGAATCAGAGTCAATGCATTTTGGTTGAAGTATGTCTACAGAAATATGTAAAGCTTTCGTTATGGCTAGTAACATCTCGAGGAACGAGAACGTCAAAAAACTATTAATGCGAATAAATAAGCCTTGTGAAGTATATTATTGACCGATACATACATGTATACACACGGTCACCGAAGCATTTTTAATACTGACCGTTGACATAAGGGAATCCAATACGCTGACTGCAAAGGCAGTACCGCAGGCAAAAGGTTGAGTGAGGTAGAGTTCCGTGTCCGGGTCATCGTCGTCGTCCTGGTCAAGGAACTGCACGTTGCTATCATTCACAAGTTCTGGAATAGCGACAAAAGAACCGTGAACAAAAATAAGTACAGCTATGTTTGGCATTCAACACGAAGATATTCGTGACTCTATTCAAGACTCTAATCAAGAAATACAAAATAACGATGATTTTTTAATAAAAAATAATTTCCTTTAATACTGTAATTAAAATGTCTAATTATGATAGCATTTAACAGTCTTCGTTTTTATTAGAACGATACTGAACACGTAGAAATGTGATCCTGAAGGTGGTTTGATAGGATCTCTCCCGTTACCTGTGATCATTGGCACATTCGCTCCATAAACGGATCCCCGTCGCTGCAAGACGATCGGGCTGCCAACTGCGGTCAAATTATCTTGTTCATTATCTGCTTTAATTTGCACTTTCTATTTAACAGCGTGGTTTTAACGGAGAAACTAGAGCTCCGCTTCCCACGAACGACAATGACAATATCGTACCTTGGCTAAGCACGCCGATTGTATCGTCAAAAGTCATGGCCTTGATATTGAGGGATGCGAGGATGGCCTCCTTGTCGGCGAGGGTGGGGTCATCATTGCTAGGCACTTTAGCCGACAGGATGCAACACATGTCGCACAGATTCACGTTAACGGCACGCAAATCGGCTCTACTCAATGGTGAACCCTGCGAAACGTTATTCAAGCGAAATAAAAGCTGCAGAAAAAGAATTCCCATTGCGAAATTATTGCTCATTATGTTCATTTCGCGTTAGCAATCAATTCATACCGTAAGCGATTTTCGTGACTTTCATAAATGCTTCCATGTTCGAATTTAGTAACATTGAATACGCAAATCTTGTTTAATACGCATTTGAATGATAATATACGGTAATATTATGTATAATATAAAGTATACATAATGTCCCAGATTTATCATGCACCTTTCTAAATAAATTAAATACAAGAAATATAACTACATAATAAATACATTAGCTGTGCAATTTCGTCTTATCTCAAGCCATTAATAAAAAAAACTGTAAAATTATCTTATTTATATCAGAATAAATTAAGATAAGAATAACTTGTCAAATTGAATTTTTCAATATGTAATATTTAAGTAATTATTCTTATATGATCTTTTTAATTTGCGACTCAATTATTTAAATATATAATAAATTAAGAAATTGTTACAAATAATGATCTTCAATTACATTTCCTTAAAAAGATTTACTTCTAAGTTCATTAAGAAATCTAGAGCAGGAAAAAAACAAATATTTTATTTGTAAATCTGAAACGTCCTGTATTATACGACAATAAAAAGTCTACGTTATCACGCGGGATAACGCTGCGATTTAAACGAAACGAGAGCAGCCTCCTCACATTTAGAACCGATATCTTCGGTAAATTCTGCAGCATTTTCCATTCGCGGCGTATGTAGTCCACCGATCCAACTATCACTACGTGTTTAAGCTCGTGATAATGAAAATTGGAAGCTCGTAATGGCATGACAAGGTTCCTCAGTCCGATGAGGGGCGAGTCGGGATCGGCGAACAGGCAGACAACGACGTGCCCGTTAAGAACTGTCATCGCCGCCTGATTACGATCCAGTATGCAGTCTTCGAGATTACGGGAGGGGCTCCAATGAAACATCCCCGTCGAATCGTACTTCATCTCGGTCTTCTCGAAATCGAAATCTTTCGCTTGATCGTCAGCGATCCCGACCTGAAGACCGCCGTTGTTGTTAACGTTCGTGCCACCCGAGGCTCTGCTCGTTGGCCTGAAAAAAAACCGTATTACAATTATATGAACAAAGTTACAAATATGACACATCTTTGTAAATGGTAACAATAATAATCTTACATTTATCGGTAGAGAAAGGTAAATTGGTAGAAAATTGGTAAAAAAAAATATTAATGAAAAGAATCACACTCGAGATTTATCTTCAAGCTCTTGTAAAATTGATCAAGACCGTGAAGCCACACTTTCGCATGCATATCGTACGCATCGCATCATTTTCTGTCATCTAGCACTACTAGTGTTGTTACATTATATCTCAGGACGAGTGTGTAACTTGGAATGCAGCAAGTATATCAAAGAAGAAAGATATAGAAGAAATGTTCGGAGATTAAGCCCTCGTACTGCATGCTTGTAAATACATTGTTTGTATGATAAAGGTTTAAGTAGAATTGTTTGTTCCGATTATAAAATTTGCAATTTTTATTTAGAAATTTGTTAAAACATTACGAAGTCGACGTTTATTGCGTTCACGCGCGCATCTATTTAAATCTATTTTTAATCTATTGCGATTTCACACTTCTTCCGTAATTAATTCAACTTCATGATTAATTCGAATTATCTAGAGCAAGAAAAATGTCAACGTAATACTTTTCCTTGAACGCAATACGCGATTTTTCACGCATTCAGGCCGAGACGTAAACGGCCATCAAAACTCGCGTTTCCCACATGTGACACCCACGTATTTTTACGAGCGTCATTAATGCCAGTGTGGCGCATGTTTTCTAAGATTAAGTATCTTCGTAAAACTCTTATGGACTTCCATACTTTTCTTTTTGTAGTCGCGCTACGTGACATGTAATTGCAATGCAGTACGCAACTTCGAAGACGTAAAGATAATGTAGTATGCAAAATTTAACACGGAAAAAACTGCCCGCGCTTGTGGTATTTATGCCCGGCTGTCGTTACTAATTTATTTTCTCGTGAGACTAGAAATACAAAGATTGACTATGTTGTACATCTAGTTTGGTAGATTAATAATTGGATAGTTTTATTAGATAAATTATCCAATTTTAATCCTTCTGACAAATAATAACGAAGTAACATTTAATTTGACAAAAATAGTAGAGCTGATAAAATGTAGAAAACATTAAAAATTGATTTTGTAAAAAAAAATTAAACACATCGAAACGTATAACTGTTACTACTGACATCAGAATTGATTACATCGTGGTGATTAAAACCTAAATATTAAATAGAGTATACGTAACATTCTTAGCACGTCCTTTTTCGTAAAAACGAGATGCGTATTGGTTTAAGTAAACATTCTATTGTAGATTATATATCGAGAGCATCACTTGACATGCAGGGAGCATGTTCATTATTATTACACAACCGTGGGATAAAGCAGTCGCATAATCACGTCACAGTACAAGGTAGCGTTAACAACAGAAGCGTACATGAGCTTTTTGACTTCGTAGGCGAGATGGTAGCCAGCGTATGCGGACTCCTCTTGCGATCTGGAATCAGAAGGTTTGCGTAACGTTGGATCTGTTCTCAGATGACTCTCTCTCTCTCTCTCACTCTCTCTCTCTCGCTCTCTCTCTCTCTCTCTCTCTCTCTCTCTCTCTTTCTGATATAGTCCAGTTGATGAAGGACATAATGATGACAGTAATGAGTGATTATTCGGCAATTAAATCAAGATGATTGTCCAATTAAAATTATTTAAAGTGTGAAAGGAAATATTGCGACTTAACACGTCACGCGATCTTGTATCACTTAAAACGATCTGGCTGTAAAGGTCCAAGTTACGTGGCAAAAGGCATCAAATCTTGGAATAATAACAAAGAGAAATTGCAGAAACTAATCTAGCGGACGTGTAACAGGTTCATCGGAAAATGTCAACGACCACCTGTAGCCTGTAGTTACTCGCACCATCCGGCAGCGTAGTAGTACAAGTGGCTGTCGTCCTCGCGCGATTTCTCTCGTGATATATGCGAGCCGTTTGTCGTTCAAGTTTGCGGCGCTCTTTGTCAACAATTGAACGAAACGCTAGAAAGCATCTATCTCTTTTGTTTCCGACTGATATACTCTGATTCTGCATCTCATATCATTTCATTACACAACGTTAGCATGTTAGAAACTATATATCCGATCAGGCTTATATGTCCTTTCACAAGAAAAAAAAATTACACTTTTAGAAACGTAAGAAATCAAATAAACGATCAGGAGTCAGCTAGTCGATTTACATGTCAAATCGCAATCTTCGCTAATATATAAATATTGAAATTATTCTCTCGATCGTAGATTATTGGGTGATTCTGGATCGCATCGAAGATCTCTACCGAGAATCGGCACGTTAAACCTTGGTGGGTTGTATGGCTTGTATGTTCGACAGTTTTAGGAACATGCTAGAAAAATGCTAATGCGGAGGTCGTTGATACATTAATGTGCAGATCATCCTAGTGCACTCGATCAAAGTGGGACGTTGTCTTATTAATGGATTAATATTATTTAGCTGAAAAATACACGCATTTACAAAAAAAAAAGAACATTACAGAAAGCGCATATTTAAAACTGTACATTTTACTTTGCAATATGTATAATTAGGTTATTCAAAATACGTTGCCGATTCGTCAATTAGAGAATATTGCAACATATTATTATAAATACAGGAAAGTTCTCACGCAAGACAACTTGGTAAAATTCTGTCTTGCTTAGGTACCGTCCAATTCGAATTCCGTTACAATTTGAATAACCTTTGCACAATACGCGTGAAAAAGTCGGTGTAATTCTAATCGTGCAGCTATGTAGAATACATGTAAGCTTGTAATTGAAGTAAAATAATAAAATGTAAATTAATAACGTATATACGACAGGGCAAAGAAAGATTAAAGCGTACTTTAGGAAGATATTTACGTTCAAGCGACTCTCAGAGAAGAAAGCAATTCTCACTGTTTAGAAAATACGTGTCGGTATCAAATGTCGAGTGCACTGTAAGTCTCACCATCTAAGTGATATAAAAAAAAATATTAAAAAGCCCGGGCATTGTTGTGGGAAGATCGCTTCTCGCCTTCTTATTGTTAATTCTCAGTAGCGAAATTCGCATATATTGCTTTGGTTGGGTGCAAAACAGAGGCGTATCATTGAGTACTCTGGTCAGCAATGATCATGGATGAAGGTATGCCTTCTTACATATAATGGCGATGTAAGTGATCACATGTTTTTGAATGCGTATATGTCAGGTGATGATGAAATTGTAATGCGCTACGGATAATTAGGTACCTCTGATTATACTGCTGATTCGGGCTGGAAAGACTGTCGTTCGTCGCTCGATTCACGTTCGGCTTCACCTTGTTGACCTGCTTCGTCGAATTTATCAAGGTCATCCCGACGGAGTTCCGATGATTTCTCATGACTGCAATGTAAAGAGATTATTTATTAATGATTTTATTGCTGCAATAATATTAATGATACAAATTTCAAATAGCTTGCAATTCAATTGCAATTAATTAACAATTAATTGTTGCAATTAATTGGTAATTAATTAATTAACAAATTAATAAATTTAAATGATTAACATTATACATCTTGCAACTGAAACTTACCATTCGGATCGTCTCGTTCGCGGCTAATTTCACCTAAAATGGATAGAACAGTGTTAATTCCAAATCTGAGCATCCTATTTACCGTCGATGGGCAAAGCAACAATGATTAAGACAATTAGAGTGTCACACTGATCGTGACCTAATTTCCCCCATGACAGCGCATATTATTTTCGTGATGATGAGCCTACAGCCCCATGCTTACAGGCGCGCATACTTCACCCAACACATGTATTTTGCATATGTCAAAAAATTAATAATTAATAGCGACGATCAAATCACAGAAGTCCCTTAATTGCGAAGTTTCCAAATTGTTATAAATACATTAACCTTCTTTTATAAAAGAATATCATGAATTTATACAAATAACTATCTTAGAAAATCGACTCTTTCTGCTCTTATTAAAATTTAATCACAATTTTGAACATAATGTAAAATACTCTTTATAAAATAATTATTCCAAAAATTTTTGTTATAAAATGTGGCTATAAACTTATTATAAATTTGCATGTATAAGAAAAAAAGATATAAATTCGTTTGTTATAAATTTTATTATAAAGTAAATGTCGAGTAATTGTTTCCAAAAATATATTACTTTCTTTAAAGTATAAAATTAAAGACAAAAAGAAAATTTTATTCAGAGATTTACATTATGTATGTAATAAAAGCAATATCTGCTTCAGAAATAATTTCAAGTTATTGCGGCGCTATGAGTGAGAATTAACGAGGGACAACATATGGCGCCTGTCGCGGTAGTTTCTTGAACAACCATTTTCTGCAATGATGAAACGAAATTATAAAGTGGATGATGTACACACATATTCGCCAACAAACACAGATGTTACCAAACTAAAACTTCCATATATTAGAAACCATTAATCTACCGTGCTGTGTATACAACTATAAATCCATTTTCACAAAGTTGAAAGCAACAAGATACTACCGATTTGAAAAGCGCGTTTCAACAAAGTCAACGACTCAATGGAATAGACATTCTAAATGTATGAGAGAAAAATTTCTATTTACGATACATAAAATTTAAGGGGAGAAATTAATTTAGCAAAAATTACTTGAGCTAAAGTAACGTTTCTCAGACTTGTGTTGTCAAAAAGTAATTCGGCTCGATAAAGTAGTATCTAATTTATATGATCATATAAATATTACGTTAGAACAGGTATATTTATTAGATTGGAAGAGAGAAGAGGATTTCGGCATGAGTTTGCATTTTACAACACATTTGTACGTACATTTAGTTCGTAAATTGACGTGAAAGTATGAGAAACATTTATGTGATCAAAAACAATTTACTACTTACGCAGACGAGCACCAATAGATATTCCGAACATTTTAATTACGCGATTTTAATTTTTCAATAACTTTGGCATTATTACTTTATATTCAAAAAGATTCTTAAATATCGCACCTTCGAAAATTTTTGCGATTTTATGAGAAAATTAATTTACTGCAAAATATATTCTACAATAATCGTTAGTTGAAGAAAACAATTGTGGATATTACGTTTGGGAAAATTGCCTGTTCATTCGCTTTTTCGTAAAAACGATGATATGTATTTATGAATACATGATAAAGTAAAATGAATAAATAATACTAAAAACAAGTTTTGTAGGACTACCGAATGCTATTGCAACTATACTAAATTGTGTTTTGTGCAAACTAGTTCAGTGAATTTCAGAAGATTTGAAAATATAAAACCAAATAATTATCTGACTTCTTATAAATCATAAAAGATAGGACATAATTTTATGTAATAAAGACAATAGTCATTAAAGTAACGTGACATAAATTTATAACTTTAAATATACACTACACTAGAAATAAAATGACGGAAAAGTATGAACAGGTATCGAATCTATTAAACAACTTCATGCAATGCTGTCAATAATGGAGAAAGTAGTACACACGAGAGCAGTGCATTAACATACACAATCATAATTAGAACAAAAGGCTGACATTTCACAGGTTTTTTTTTTCACTTTCTCCAATGTTTCAGCAACACAAAATTAGCGCGTTAACTTGAATAAAAGAAAAAAAAATCTTAATCGAACACGACGTATCAAGAACCTATCGCTCAAGCGAGTTTTGACGAAGCGTATCAAGTGCGGAAGATCAAATTTCCGATGTCAATCGAGAGCAGTAATTTCTTTTTAGGATCGTCGTATCTACTAATTGTCAAACACCTTCTCGTTAGTGTATATTCGTGTCGTATTGCCAATCGAAATTAGAAAGGGCAGCTTGCGAGACTGTAGCATGGTTTTTGATTGAGGTGTAACTGTACCTCTTACGTGAACCATCTTGGGCAGTTCTGGCGGAGTGAATGTGGGGGGAGGATGGTGGTCGTCTGTAACAAACCACTACACATGTTAGCTACCCTAACTAATTACCTAAGGCCTAGTCGCTACTCTATCGCGTTGGACAGTACTAAATCTGCGTTAATAACTAGAAGCGAAGTTCCGTTTCAGCGTCGCACGATAATACTGATAATTCGGAAATCGCGTCGGAGAGATTTTATTATATTTACTAAACAAAAATTGTAAGAAGAGTCTTTCCTTACCTTGCGCTAAAATCTAGGAGAATAACGAGATATAAAAACATCAAAATTTGATCATTATATACATATGGAGGGGTAAAAACCACAGTGGTGTAAGTCAAATTTTTAAAAATATTTTTTCGTGTGCATAGATGCACATTATATATTGTACAGATTGCATCTATGCACACGAAAAAATATTTTTAAAAATTTGACTTACACCACTATAGTTTTTACCCCTCCATATATGTATGTAAGCCATTGACTAAAAATTTATTTATATAGATGTTAATATATGTTAAATCGATATATATAATAATAATTAAATGTAAGATATGACGTTTACGATATCAAGCTGAAACGGCCTTTCAGTATTGCGCTAAGAACAAAAAAATAATCGTAAAGAAAATAACCACTAAAATTGTATAAAGACAAATGTGTAATTTTGAAATTCTAACAGCTAAAAGTACGGTTCGTGGACAACATGGACGAAATTAATGATTGAGGTCAAACAGTTTTTATGAGAATTTTAATATTAAAACAGACTTCGTCCATATTGCGGGAACGTTATACAAGACAGGTACTAAAATCGATCCTACGATCATAAACGTGCGGTGTGCCCAAAACATTCCTAATTCATGCCGAAGATGACGCAAACAGGGAAGACGCGATCGATATCGAGCAAACTTGCGTACGTGGCGAGTTTTGCTTATTTCCGATCAGCGTACGTGAATAAAAACGATCCGTCGTCTCCGCTCACGTCAATAATATTATATCTCGTCCTAAGCATGCAATAATGTAGCCTTACGGAGTGAATATTTACTCGGCATTGTCAGTGCGCGCTTTGCATCCTCCGGGAAAGAGAATTCACGTGCAAAACGACAAAGACTTTGCGAAAGCTCAGGAGGAATTGAAAGAGTGCATAAAAGATCATAGAGCTTGTCTACTGAAAGCGCAAGGAGAATTCTCTTTTTGGATTCCGACGTGAATTTCGCCGTCTGCGGGACGGAACGAAAATGCGACGACGATTGCGACCCTGCGTTTCTGTTTGTTACAATTGACATTATCTCGAGGCCGACGGTGTGACACGAGCGAGAATAGATTGCGATTCATGCGAAATTCCCCCTTTACGCACTTACTCGAGGCCTCGCTGATGAGCGAAATAACGCCACGCTAATTAGAAACTGTACACGTAGCGACTAGCGACTGTTCGTCTTTACTCGGAGAATCAAAGTATGTCCCCTTTGACACGTTCCTTCCAAGGTAGCGTTCTCAGAAATTGCGCAAAGTGTAATTCCCTGTCTTCCTTTAATTATACCCGAGATTGCAGAACTCCCCGGCTTTCTTGGAAAGATGATGTAAACGGGGACTAATGAGCAAATAATTAAAGTCGCCAAATCGAGTTGATGAATGAGATATATTGCGCTTGAAAATAGCATCAGAAAATTATATTCTCGCAGTCAAATCTTTAGATGCAAAATACAATAAAAAATATCACAAAATTTTCACTGCTAAATATTGTAGACAGAGCTGGCCTGAACTTGACACACAATCTTTCCCCATTTAATTTAACCCATTCTTATTTCACCTGAAATTGGTAATATCTATCGCAATGTTTTTTTATTTGAAATCATTATTCTTCAAATTTTGTTTGATTCCTGCACGACGCTCTGTGTTTGAGAACATACATAAAGCATATTTCGACCACGTTCGATGAGATGCAATAAGTTTCATCTCGTAACTCAACCTGTCGATCTGACTCGTTTGCTTGTCAGATCAGGCCGGTTGGAAAATGAGGGACAGTTCCGAGGCGGGATGTTCGAGTAAATGTGCAAAAGGTAGTACGCTTCATCGGCGATAGCGCCTGCGGTTGTACAGCATCGCTGCGTAAACCCCGATGAATCTCCGCGTTTTATTAGCCCCTACGCATATCTATACGAACGCGTGGCAACGCGTTGTGCGTGCGTATCGCGAACTAAGTTACGCCTTCTCGTGAACGCGACCGCGGCCGGGGGAGATTGTACGTGAAATTAAATAATATGTACAGGAAGAGAAATGCATATATATAAATTTTAATATACATCCGCGTTCTTCGCTGGACTTACTTGCGTACAAGAGGTCTTCACCTATGCGGAGTGGTGGAGGAGACGAGGAGAGAAGATAGATTCGGACAGATAGACACATATAGAGAGTTAGTTAAAGAGTCTTTGCTTGCGGATCTCGTGTTCTGTCGTGAGCCCGTGCGCGCGCGCGCGCGTGTGTTATTTCTCGCGTGTAAATTACGTATGCGTGTATGTGTGATTATGTAAGTGCTTATACGCGTGTGTGTGTGTGCGTGAATGTGAGTGTGTGTATTTTGACATTTAATGCGATTGCTGATGCGCGCGTGTTTTGTCGTGTATAAGATGCACGAGTCGTAAGATGAGTGTGTATAATGCGCGGCTCTCTCGAATGAGCGATGAGAGGTGCCAGTGTGTGTGGTATATCTTGCGTTAATTAATTGACGTCTGTCGCGCTTCTCTTACGCGCGCATCGCTCACGTGTACACGTCTATCTAAACATCGTGAAGATGTGATGCTCAGCCGGCAAACACCGATCTGCTTCCGAAAGAGAGGGAGAGGAAAAAAAATAGTATGGCAATCGGAGTAACGAACAGAGGTTTGCACCAACGTTTTCATTGATCATCTCCGCGCTGTTGGCGAAATCAAATTGTCCGCGAGGTCGCTCCGATGGCCAATAATTTTTTTCATGGGACAGAACACTCGTTGATGTCGTGCGCGACAGTGCGTTTATTGCCGTCAATCCAAGAGCGACGTTCATCTGACCGTTAATAAAGTGAATGGCTATCGGTGGTGCGCTAGCAATATCAAGCGTGACGTTGACGCTGAGAGACTCAAAGAGTGTTCTGCGAAACTTTCAAAACACACAGGTACTCCATATCCAGCGGTAAAACACTCATGTGTCGATCACGAAACATTTATGACGTCGAAAATATTTTAAAGAATATATACCGAAGCAAATATCAAGTTACAACGACGTTAGTTTTTTTGCGGTATTCAACGATCGTTGCCTCTGCCACAGGACGAGTAAAAATCCACGAGTATAATAAAGGGCTAATTCTAAAGTATCTCTAATTACACGTCGAGTTATTAAATATCGAACACCGATGCAAGGTTGATTGGAGGTAGTTTAATACTTTCAAGGCAATCACATCACCGCCGGTTCTCGATTGCGATTAATTTCATAATTCACTCACAACAATAACCATTGAGTAAACACTGACAAACTTTTAGGAAAACTACATTCAAAAACGACACTGATAGTAGTGTAATATCAGTTGCAAAATAGTTAAGAACACCACACCAATAGGGACTCAAACACTAACGATGTTCTACGCTGGAGCCATTTATCAATCCGAACGAACTTTGGGAGATTAGCACAACGACATTAATTTTGTTATGAAAACTTATCGCGAAATTATGTAGACCAAGCAAGGATAGAGTGAATATTTCGTATTAGGCGTACGAAAATTCTGTGACACGTTTCGCACGTTGTGCTAGTCTTTTTAAACATGTAAATGGTAATTTTCTTTTGTGTTCGGTAATCTTTCGTTTATAAACCGCGTGAATTTTATCGATAAAATAGGTCTTGACGAGCAATTTATTGGGTAGAAAAGAATTTATTTGATAAAAAAAAATTAATAACACATTTAATTAAAGTTTACCATTAATTCGTCGTATAATATAAATTTTATAAACTATTGTAAATACAGAAGTTATGAATACATTAAGTCTTCATAATCGTCAAGATCTCGAATCAAGGTACAGTGACTTTAACTTTTCCAGATTAGAAAATTTTGCCTTTTGCATAATATACTCGTCAAGCAATATAATTATATAACAAGCGATATAATTATATAAAATCGCATATGAGACCATTTATTTATTTACCATTATTTATTTAAACATGACCTTTGAATCGATCTTATTTGACGTGAAAGATAATAATCCGATAATATTAAAACAGTTAAAAATAAAGTCCTCAATTGATATGCCAAGACATTATTATATGTAAAATTGTATTGCAGATTTACATTATTTAGATGTTTTAATAAGTATCACAAATTTTCATTACTTTCATTGCTTTGAAATAATTACAATATCACAAACCCTTTGTGCATCGTATAAAACGAAGAAAGTTTCTTTTTATTTATATATATATCATATATAATTAATTAAAATTATTACTTTGTCATCATATAAACGTTGATGTTTTCTCGAGTCAAAGGCCATGCTGCTCTGTCCGGAATATTATGGCTTTCTTTTTCTATTTTCTCACAATCACACTTTGTTCGATGAATTTACTTAAAAAATCTCCGTATTTCCGGGATTAAGATAAAAGAATGACGTTTGATACACAGTCTACACACGGGGGATACGTACTTGCTCTTCCAACCATCTGAACAGCTCGCACGCCTTTCCGGAATGTGGCCACTGCCCGAAGGGAGGAGAACCAGAGCTGTTAGTTGTCACAACCAAAACAATGTCAACCTAGATGCGGGGGTCTCAACGGGTATGGGATCTAAATCCGTGGTCCCGATCGATATGTCACGTTTAGTACGATTTATCAGGATTAGGATATCACAGAAATTTCCGTATTTTCTCTCTGTTTTTCGATTTAACTCTCTTCTTCTCGATTAAATTCAACTTCAAAACGATATAAAATGTTTTATAAATTACATTCGAGACTAGTTTTAATCATACGTGTATGATTTTAACTCGTGTGGAAATCGTTCAAAAGATAAAAGATTGGATTTCGAAACAAAGATCTAGTCAAATGTCACTAAATTGATATTTAAATCGCAAATATATATTCCAGCTTTGGCGAAAACGTCGTGCAGCTTACTGTAACGTGACCTTCGATGGAGAGAGTCATTATTAACACTGGTGTTACAATGCACAGTTTACTTCGGCCTACTGTGAGGGTCGCAACATATAGAGATTATAATTATATATCTGCGCTGTGCGGTTATATTATAATATAAACCTTGTTATATATTCAGGGAATACGTATTGAAAAAGGAACTAAATATTTCTTCACAAGTCAATGTCGGTTGCAGAGTGTCGGCGTTATTGTTGTGATGTTAGTGAGTGGTGTCAAATATGCTCGATATGTGAGGGGGAAATGAGGTATTTTTAGCTGATGTATTCGATAAACCCTGGGCATCGATTATCATCGTCCCTGTAAGCTGTTTAAGCTCATGGTTAAGCTTATACGTCTTGGTGCTCTTTCTGGTTGCGTGCCGAATTCAATTAATCAACCCGCACTTAGCGACATTGAAAGTTTATCACGGAAACGGAATTCCACGTGCACTAGCAAATCAATATCATACTTAATAACGCACTGCTGCAGCTTTTCTTAGCTATTAAAACATTTTTGGAGTTAAAAATAAGAAAAAGAGAGACCATATCATATGTATTATACTTGAATTACTTCTTAAATAATATTGCTAAACATAAAATATATGTATGGAGTTCTAAATGTACCTTTAATTAAATGCAAAAATAATTGTAAATGCACATATTTGAACAATCGCACAAAATTCTCGAGACGAGCATCTGTAACCATATACTTTTAATTTCGTAATCATTATTTCAATTAGCATAATAAATTTAGACCAAAATTAGCACAAAAATTGCTGCAATAAAATTTGATTTCATAACGATTAATTATTTCTTATGTAAGTATGGGGCAATAAGAAAACGTTTTTCGCGAAAGTCAATATTGGAGAGAATGTTATATTTACTGATATTGATACTTATTAATTAATTTCTAAATTTATAAGTGCATAGCTGTATGATTTTTAGGACCACAACTTTCACGAAAAGCGTTTTGTGCAGAAACAATGCAAACTTTTACATGTTAAACATATATATATAAGGTGACCCAAATTAATAATGTCACTTATGTTCAATTATAAATGTAGACGAAACCTAATATTTTATATACATTTAACATTGGGTAACCTTATACATAAAAAGACATTCCAGTTCCAAATCGTCACGCTTATTGTCGCAACAATCGAAATGCGTTCTTTCAAGAAAAGAAATCGGCCATCGTATGCGCGTTACACGAACGAGATGCGTGACAATATCTGGAACTGGTGAAACATATGAATTACCAATAAAAGTCCACGTAAGCACACTGAAACAACAGTTAAGAAACGATAATCGTTAGCAAGCCTGAAATACGGTATGAGCAAACTCGTCGACTGGTGTTAGGTGGCAGCCATTTAACGTGAAGACACAAAATATATATACGACTCGGCAACGTGCAAGAATGCGTTTCTGCGCGAAAGCGGCCATTGTATCGCACTTGTGACGAATGAAGCTAAACACAATACGCAATAATTAATCGATTTTTGTGCGACGTATGACCATCCGACGTATGTCCAACCGGAGTGCTTGTTACTGTCGGCCCCCGGCCTATGTGTCGAAGTAGGAGAAGAAGCGGCGAACAATGTTAGTGCTACGTAACGTAACTGTATGCTACTATTAGAGGGCGATGCTCGATAACTCGCTCAATGCCATCAGCTCTAGCGAAAGCCCAACGATAAACAGTATCGGATCGTACGGATCCGAGTGGCAGAGTATCGTATACGGGGTACTGTGGAGTAAGTGCACGTGGTAAGTGAGACGATTAAGTCCGTCGGTTTGGTTGTTGTACGTTCAGTATCACTTACGCCATCTTACCTCATTACACAATCAAGGCCAACCTGATTCTGCCGGACGCCGAAAGAAGCATTTTCTTAATTTCGCAAACGAAACGTTACGCGAATATTTGCTGCGACCGCGCGATTTCCCAATACGTGAATATAAAATTACATGCCGCGCGTCCAGCAGAATGCATTTTGTCAGGATAATGAACGTGGATCGAATATGCTGACTATTGAAGCGTCGACTTTAAGGAATCGTCTCTTTTAAAAATAAAAACTCAATATTGTTAATTGAAACCAATCGATCTGCCTGCTTTATGCTGACAAATTCTCGCAGAAGCTGCGACAGGTGGATATGCGTATATGGATACAAAATGGATGGAGGAGGAAACCGGCAACAGGCATACCGTCGAGGTAACTGCTGTAGGCAGTGTTTCCCTTCACCATGCCGGTCTGCATCATCATCATCCCCACATCTGCAAAAATCCAGCGATCGACCCGGACACGGGTTTGTAAGTTACAAATAAAATGAACAGACACATCATATATACACGGGAGAAAAACGTGAACGGCTTCACGATGCACTTTGTTTCTTCTCTCTCTTTTTTATTTTTTAGTAATGTATAGCTTTTGCGGAATTCGTATGTGCACGTACGCGCGAGCAGAATGAATCGTGCGTGTGTCACGTATAACGTATGCAAATACTGTAATCCAGATACTAATCACACGAAATTTAGGCAGAAATTTGACGAGTAAAATTATATATATAATTTCGTTTGTAACATTGCAACGTAATCATCATATATGAGCTAATGAAATAATATAGTGACGAGAGGATTACCGCGATTCCGCGTTGGTTCACGTACGAATTCGAACACGGTATTAGTCACAATATTTACGTTCAATCACAAATGAGAATACACTCGGTACATCCAAGGTATGCAACACTGGAAAAAAATAGAAAATAAGCTCGCTCATCGGGCAAGTTACCTTTCCTCGTCCCCCACCGAAATTCTTTGTAAACCTAAAAATTAACGTTGATCGACATTGCGGATCGCCCGGTGCTCGAGCGGGGCACGAGCACCGGGAACGTTGATTGCCCAGGGTTTAGGGTAAGTTTACCGTTCCTGTATATGGACAAGACTGATCGTGCGATCAGTTAAGCGTAAGTCACTACTCGGGGGAGACTCGTGTGGATATGGTCGTGTACGTGGTCGTGTACGAGTGTACGCCTGATGCGGTATGTCGCGTGTGACATGGACGGAATTGTCGGACAGAGGTGACGCGTGGCCTTCCCCCCGATATGCCTTGAGCGGCATCACCCGGCACGGGGATGTCTCGACGTTTGTGGGGAATGGATGGGGTATGCTCCTGCCATTGGCGCACCACCGGTCGGCGATCCAATTTCACCGGTGATTCAAGAACGAGAAACGTTCGGCGAACGTGAGAACGCGCGTGAATGCGGTGGAAGACGCGCGGCTCGATCGGGCCGATCGATCGACCATGAGGTCTCATCGATAATACAGCTAACACGTTGAGAGAGAAAGAAAGAGAGAGCGAGAGAAAGGGGGAGAGAGAGAGAGAGCTGGCAGACGATCGAAGAAGATAGTTTTGGAATGGAGACAGCGCGAGATAGAGAGAGAGAGAGAGAGAGAGAGAAAGAAAAGAAAGAGAGAGAGAGGGTGAAGACAGACAGTGTTCGAGAAAGAAGCTGTCATTACCATTATGGCGAAAACAGGTCCAAATCCGGAAACTATTCATGCATGCAAGGCGAGCGAGAGGGTCACACACTAGTAGTGCAGGCTATAGTTTTCGTTCTCGGTCAGGTGGACATGCGCCAACTGACTGGACTTTCGGGAATTACTGTGTTGAACTCGGTACTTCATTTATTTTTCACGTCATTTCTCGCGACTGGAGCGAGCATAAAGGTTTCCGTGAAATGAAATTAATTGATCATGCTCGTCGCATTGCGTGGCACATAAAACCACGACGTTTGACCTATTCGTGCGTAGGCGCGCAATGAATTTTCTATGTAATTTGTTGTAAAATATGTTCCGCTCTCGCGGTAGCTTTTACTGTTGGTCGCAATTCCAAAAATCGTCGCGCATCGGTAAATCTTTTATAAAAAAAAAACAACGAGAGACGTGACGGTGAAAAACGAACAAGTACCCGATTATATAGCATCGCCTTGGGGATTGTGTCTTGCAATGAAGATTAAAAATGCAATCATCGTTGTGCTGATCATCATCGTAATTATGATAATTATTCTCATAATCATCATCTTGACTTGCAAGAGATCGATTAATGTCGGAGGCAATATATGTATCGATAAGACACAAAGAGAGAGAGAGACAGACGGAAAAATACAGACAAAGAGAAAAAGTGATAGAGAAAGACAAAAAGAGATAGAAAAATAGAACAGGAGAGAGGCAAGGGAGCAATGAAGAATGAGAGTAACTTAATAGAAAGACAAAATATCGCAAGGCGCGGAACAGAGTTTTAGTACAGAGGCAGAAACAGTAGACATGTACAATCAAGTTGATGTTTGGCGAATGGAAGGATTGGATCAAGAGCTAGATCGTATACAAAAGGGCAAGAAGATTAAAAAATAAGTGATTAAGAGATAGTCACAGAGATGACAGTAAAGTATCAGACTTAACGAACGAGTGTGAGAGACGTTACCTAAATCCCGGCCCCAGGAGCGCTGCTGCTGCCCCACTAGATCATATATCACAATAGGATGGTATCACAACCATGTCACTTTGTTAATAATCGCATTTATTACTGTTATCGCGCTCTCAAGGGCAAAGGGCAAAGAGGGTGAGCCGGCAGAAACCGGGGTGAGCGTGGAAGAGGGAGAGGGAGAGATAAAGAGAGCTTCCTATGTCATCCGTTTGCATTTATACGTTACTTTACGTCGAGACGTTATAATTTTGCGAGTCACATCAAAGGCACGCTCCATCAATATCGATTGACAGAGAGAGCAAAGAATGAAAGGTAAATAGATAGATAGAGATAGAAAGAGAACGGGGAGAGAAACCTCGTGTGAGACTCGCAATCTCTATCGATAGATCGAGCGCGTTCTATGTACAAAATACATCTGTGTACAGTTTATATGTTAGATATATAGACATATGTATATATATATATATATATATAATTGGCAGAGAGAAGACCGGATGTCATTTAGCAGAAAATTTGGCAAAAATCGAGAGAAAGGCTTTTTAAAGGATCACTGGGCCAGAAAGACTTACAATTTTTGCACTTGCACTTCTTGATCAGAGTCTCGTCTTTAATCTCGTCGTGGCATGCTTTGCAATAGAACCACGCCCTGGAAATGAAAGCATAAGAGAGACACAATTATTATTCATATCTATAAATTATAAAAGATTATTTAGATATTTTTTTAATTAGGGAAAAAATCAAACAATGAAAAATCGGAAAGTACAGAATTACATATTAGTTACAGGAGGTGATTGTATACAGTCTAATTAATAAAATATTATAAAATAATGGAAAAAAGGCAATAAACGTATTATGTCGTAAAGAAATTTTGCAATACATTGCAAAAAATTGCAAACCTTTGTTCTAAGCTATATTACATAAATTATTGTTGCATTTTGACATCAAATGTGTAGTCTTAACTAGTTGTTCGAACCTCTTTAGCTTGCGTTGAATATCGCCTTATTTAAATAATTAGCAATCCTTAAGCAAGAATGTGGGTTACCATATTTAAATAAGCTCTTAAGAGTTAAGCAAGAATGTGGGTTACCATATTTAAATAAGCTCTTCCGCTAAAATCCTTTTAGCAATATTCCGAAATATTCGAGGATTCTTACCGCTTTACTTCGTCAGCAGATTGAGCAATGAAGAATCCCTGAGTATTTGCAGCGATCTTGGCACCACGTGGGTTAATCGAGATTTTACTGTCGGAGCCTCCTTCGCCCTTTATCTCGATGGCCAGCAGCAAGAGCTTCAGTTTCGTGAAGCACAACCTACGACGAAGTCCATACGTAATATTCGATGTCTAGATGCAATTAAGTATTAAAATAACAAAAAGCTTAAATATATTTTGCTGTGTTTTAATGCGATACACTTATGAACGTGGCAACATTGTATGCAAAAAAGTGGCCAACAATAAGCGACTAGAAATACTGCAAAGATATCATCATGATAATGAGTTGTGTTTCAACAAATATATTAATATGCAATAATATCTGAATAGCGTTGCTTATAATATAAAAATTTTTACAGCAATAATATCAGTATAATAATTACAAAACATCTTTAACCAAATAGAACATTAGAAACAGATAGTTGTGAACAACTCAATATCGTTCGTGTAAATAATAAAACTTGAATTCGTAAGAAGAACTTCTATTGTTCATGTGAAACTATTTTTGTTTTAGTTTTATTATAAAAGAAACATTATATAAAAATTAACGGTATAATTCTATAATTACTCTAATAATTCTGTAGTATAACTACTATACGAATGTTTGCATACGAATGCAAGCTTTATTCTTTGCACGGTAAGATTTATTCAATGTGAATGCAGCATAAAGTATTGTCAGATTGTATTTGTGTATATTTAAAATGCATAATATAGAACAAGATAAAACAACTATATTTATTTAAGATTTACATTTTTTCATTTAAAATATTACAGCATAAAGAAAATAATATATAGAAATAAAACTTTATTTAGTGTTTATTATTTTATTTAATGTAGGTATATATCTAATACAATAATTTAATAATATATAAATATTTAGTTATTTTTCATACTTTATGCGCTTGGTTTAGCGAAAAATACACAGCGAAAAATGTTAGTAAGATATGTGTATATACACCCACAGAGTAACGGGATACTGATCGTGCAGAGGCAAAGTCTTATTTCAAATATCAAAGCATTTAAATTTACAGCGTTTATTTATTTAAAAAAAAATTAAGCCTTGTTTATACCTGCATGTATCATCGTCCCGTTATACCACCTCGGCGATAACTGAACATTAAACAATCATGCAGACGATGCAACATGTATCGATGAATTAATCCAGGCGATCATGCAGGAAAGTCTTACGATTATTACTTATCTAATTATATGAGCCGAGAAACATGCCAAGATAAATCGAGAGTCTCTAGACTCCACCCTTTATAGACTATCTATTACGTTCTAAGTTCCTAATCTACTTCAAAGTTCCAGGAGGCATTCGGGAGGTCCAGTCTCATCCGTGTAAGGATCGAACGGATTAGCTAATGTTCGGGAAGCATTACATGTATATAATATACGATTGTATACAATATACGGCATAGAAAAAGATGATAAAGATAATTAATATTCATAGATAATAAATATTCATAACGTATTTCAATGTGAAGACCGCTTCTTGCAGGAATAGATCTCTCACACACACAAACCAAATGATGACGATAATCCAAGAGTGCGCATAAACCAAAAGAGAAAACTCCGAAGAATTGTAGCTCTCAGTCGCGCGAATAACGATGCAATTCACTGATTTCTGTAGAATATTGCTATGCCAGCAATAGGAAACTTCTATGGATTTCATTAATATCATCTTTTTTGAAAAAGTATGCAGTAGTAGCGAAAGTATGACTAATAAAGACATCATATAATATGCAGAACGTTTAAAATTTTTCTCACTCCTTTTATTTATAGATACTTCGACTAATACGAGACCATTTTTCTTTTTCAATTATTCAATTGCCTGCCATTTGTTGTTACAATTTCTTAACATAAGAGCCTTAGATATTTCTTTCATTAATCATCAAGTATAAAGTCTATTGAATTAAAATCTATCCAAAATTAAAGAAAGAATAAAGGAATAAAAATATTTACATTTTTAAAGCTAAAAACTATCGCTACTGATATTTTTGCAGATAAAAGTGTTGACAATCTGTCAGGATTAAATGTTATCTTAAAAATAGAAAAATAAAAAAATCACAGAAATCAGATGATGCAATCTTACTATAGGCAAATATGTAACGGTGCAATTCAGACGGCTGAGAAAGGGTATTAAACGACGCGTTTATTTCGTCCTCAGATATTTCGTGATTTTTTCTCGATTATTTATTAAAACTATTTATCGAATCGAATTATTTATCGATATTTATTACGGCGCGATATGTATAATAGTATTTATTTAATTAATGCAAGGCAATATATTAATATATTTTTACTGTGCTATATACATTCTTTACGAACTCGTAGCGACACAAAAAGAAGACGTGTTCTTGTCTTCATAAATACATATAGTTCTTGGTTAAATTTATTTCCAGTTATTTGCAATAAAAAAATATAAAATGATGTAAGAATTACAATGTACATTTTTAATATATTTTCTAATGTTAGTTCTGTGATATATTTCTATATTAGTTCGATTTTTATAATTAATGCATGTATTTTATCACAATTTTCACTTTTGTGGAATAAAATTCAAATGCTGGCGAAAAAAATATAAACTGCCTTTTGTGCAAAGTATATGCACACATCCCATATATCTTATATCACGTCGTGATTATAAGATCATCATGTGACTAATTCCGATTGCAAGTGACTATATATATTTAACACTTAATCAATTTTTACTGTGTACGTGTCACAGTAGCAGCAAACCGATATCTGTACAATAAAATTAATGTTTGTAGGAAGAGCGGTATCTCCCCTAAATTGCAGCTCCAAAAATTTTCGCAAGAACAGAATTGCGAGCTCGATTAAAGTCCGTTAACGAACAGGGAGTGTACTAATACATATTTATGTCTAATCGGCAGCCACGATCGATATCCTTACACTCCTCCAATAACCTGTGTCAATGTGTTACGAGAATAAGTTTCACATACTTTTATGTGGTAAAGAGCAGCAGGCATGCGTGTACAAAGAACGCGCTTTTGTTAAAATAAGATTAGAACGCTACATTTAAGAACACACACCATGACAAGGATACGGACATATTACCGACAAAAAAAAAGACAAAAATCTCGCCCATTACGTTATATCCAAAAGTGTTCGTATAAAACCCCAAAAACGATTTCTCTGTCGGGATTCCTTTTTCCCCAAATAAAAACAGAATTACGCCGTTTCGCCATTTCGGAAAGAGGTCATAGGACACGCGCGCGCGCTTCTTTCTCATTTCGTCTCACGTTGCGCCGCAAAAAAAAAACTGTGATATTGCCGAAGCGGGATGCACGATTTACCGGGACGAATGCGGATCTTGCGAGCGATTCTTGCAACGCGCGTCTGATTGCAACTAGTTAAGATTTATTAAGAATGACCGCTGGTCACGTTATGCCGCGACACGATATTGTGCGCGCCGATTTAAGAATAACAACATTCAAGACCGACAATCAAGTAATTTTCATGATAATTAATGTCACGAAAATGAACGAAATGAATTTTATTTACTTCGTTTTATAAGTCTTTTAATAATTTTCGCAACGGTTTCTACGCAATGATGGAGTAATCTCAAAACAGACAATTTAACTGATTTAATATAAAAAAGAAGAGAAAAAAGAGAGAAATTTTTGAGAGTGAGAAACGCAAGAAAAGAATAGTGCTTCGAGTAAACGAATCGAGTTGCAAAGAGAATTAAGCAATACGCAGTTTTCAATCTCGATATCAATTGTTCCGCGAAATAGTGTTGGAGTACGAGAATTCCATTGCGTCTGACGGTCTCGACACGATCGTAATGCTCGACGGGAAACATTTTTAGAATCGCGACCAATTGTACGCGAATCGCCTGGCGCCCGGTGTTTCCACGAATTTCCGAATCCGAGTGCGGGTTTGAAACACTTTCGTTTCCAAACGGGAAATATTGCCGATTCCCCTGTTGCCAATCGAGCATCCCAATTATACCGAGCACGACCGACCGGAGGCAATCGCCGGCAAGCAAAGTCCGCATTTGTCCCCGGTACGTCTCTCTACTCTTCATTTCTACGCAATTCACAAAGAAATCTGTGCAGAATTTCGAGCAGCTCGAAAACGAAAATCAAAACTGAATCGGAAGAATAAGAGGGAGACACGGCCGAACGGAGGCAAAAAGACAAAAAGAGGAAAGGGGAAAAAAAGGAGAGAATAGACTCGTACAGCTCAAAACTGGACTACTCTACGCAAAATCCAAACAAAAGTATATAGACAAAAAGACGAATATAGTAGAGTCTAGTAAAGAATCGTTCAAAGGCTAAGAGACCGAGGTGAGGGGCGATATATGTATATATAAATATATATATGTATATATGTTCTCAAGTATATAGATATATGTGGTACATGTATGTCTCGGTATTAGGATAGTTCAGTGTGTTTATTCGTGAAACGAAGATGAGACAAAGAGATAAATAGAGAGAAAGAGAAAGAGCTAGAAAAGAAAGAAATTCGTAACCGAGTGTACGGTGTGTGAATAGAGTATTTCTGTATTTGTGTTCCTCTTCTTTCTTTTTGTATATGAATGTTGTATGACGGTCCGTATGATTGTCAATTCTGTATATACGTGTTGTATCGCGTGACTCGTGTTGTAAGAGTGTCTGTTTATGATACGTTTACGTGTGTGACAGCCGTTAGCAGCGAGGACTTACTCGCTGGCTTGGGGAAATGTCATCCCGGTAAAGGACGGGGAGAGGGTTTCCGTGTACATCTCGCAGCCCGTGCCCTGCAGGTAATCATTCTGCCACGCCTGTGTGTCCGGCGACTGAAACACCAACCAACCAGGCCCCACGTCATCAAACTTTCATGATCCACGTCGCGTGTGGACGCGCGAGCGGAAGAGCATCAGCTACGTGCGAGCTGCTACCCTTCCCGGAGGGAGACAACTGGAATGGGGACATTTCGTACATCGTTTTGCAAACAAGGGTTTGCCCGCGAGTCGTCCGACCGATGCGTCCGTCTGAAAAAATTTACCTATAGGACGCAGCGTCTAATGGTCTAATCTTTACTCCTTGAACGTGCGAGCTCTGTAAAAAAAGTCTGGTTACGGTCTGGTTTTTTACGAGGCTCGGAAGTCTCCTAAGCCTTTTTCCCTGGACAACACGAAAGTGTAAAAGACATCCGAGAAACGGATTCTTCGTCTGTGACCGATAGCGACATCTTTCCAGACGTTTTTATGATTAATTGATTTTCTTTTATACGTTTGTGTTGCCGGAGGAAACCGTTTTTGGCCGGAGACAGAATGTAGGCCAGGACACGCTCGGGATGCCGATCCCGAGCGACGCGGCCCGCGTCGCGTCGTGTCGACCGCGACGCACGGCGATCATGCACGATGATGCATTTCGCAATTATGGCGACCGACCGGGGTGAGAGTTATTATCACCGTCAGCGAAACGAACGAGCGCCGTTAACGATCAAATTCCAGAGGCCGTAATTCCGGGAGCGAGCACGCGCACACACTCACACTCACTCAGACACACCTATGTACATATTTCGGGGGCACATAGAGCGCTTGATCTCTTCCAAATTCTCTGTCCCACCCCACCCTATCAATCTCGGCAATTCGTCGATCGATCGAAACCTGACCATTTCTCACATTTTCCTTCCCCTGGCTACACTTGCACGTAGCTCTTGCACGCGCAAGCTCTTCAATTACGTTGATCTCTTCGTATAGTGTGTATATATAGTATATATAGTACAAGTCTAAAAAGTCTGCAAAGAGTGCTCTTTCATTGATACGAACGACGACGAGGACACATCTTCGATTTACTTCTCGAGCTAACATTTTTCTAGATGATAGGAGAAGATGGTTTTCAGAGTTCTAGATTCGTACAATATTTTGACTGTCATGTTTATTCTTCTGGAAATCAATTTACCATCAGTAGTTTTGCAAAAATAACACGGTGAGCACTGTCGCTGTTGATTGCTTTTGAAATATATTTGGTTCTCTATTTGACTTTTATTTCAAGAAGCATTTCAAAAAGAGATTTCACACTTTCACATCTCTCTATCTTTCCAAAATAGCTATGCAACCGAAAATCCTGGATTATATGCCCGTATGTTTGTCTTCGTTGGGTAACCAGCACAACGGTAAACACGTTGTTGCAGCGCTGGCACCAAAACTTGGATCAAAGGATTGCTTTATGAATCTAGCAACTCCACCGCTGACGAGATAGAGATTTGACCGTCGTATTTACCCACCCGCCGCTATAGTAATTTTATAGAAAGTCTGCAGAGTTTAGTCTGGTTTAGAAACTCTCTAGCGAAAATCGGATCAAAGGCTGTGAATGCTCTACGATTCCAATGACTCTAATCGAGGTCGAGACTGTGTCGTCGTCAGTCGTTCCTTCTTCTTTTTCTTACTCTGTTAATTAATGTTATTGTTACAAGTCCTTCAAAGTTATATATATATATTTATATCAATTGCAGAGAGGGGTGAAAATAACAGGTACGTTACTGAAGCGATGAAGGGGTGGTTTACATCGATTAGGTGTAGCACAGATATGGTTTTGTACAATATAATAGACACGTTCATGTATTATGTTGTAATATACACACATATGTATATATTGCACGGAGGCTCGCGCGCTCCGTTGTACATGTGTATATTTACGTATATATGTATATATATATATACGTTTACGTTTATAGCGGAGTGGAGCGTAGTGAGAGACATAGGCGAGGCGAAGCTTCATCCCTTTCTTTTTTTTCCTTCCGATTCAAGAGACCGCGGACTTTCCTCGAGCGACTTTGTCGTCGTTAACATGATCGCGAAACGGGCCTGCAAAATATATGGATGGCGGCGATTTTCACAAGTAAATCTCATTACTCAAAGGAATTCTTCGCTCGAGTATCCCTCGAGATTCCATCTGGATGAGCTATGCGCGGTGAAACCCCGAAGAGTTTCATTCGTGTCTCACAGCAACGAGTAGAAGAGCCATCCATTTTCCATGAACTTTTTACATGACCGCAGAGGAACTTAAGTCGACGATAAGTGGAATTATTTTAACTCAGTAATTGAAACTCATAAGTTTGACGTTTATTTACTCTGTAATTACATGGCTTTTAAAATAACGTGTTTGCTCCCAAGAATTTCGTTAGATTTTATTTAGTAATTTCAACGGCTTGACCAGCGTTTATGTCAAGTTCCGAATATATTATATAAAGTTATTTATCGTGTAAATACACTATTTAAGTTTATAACATTTATTCTAATGTAAGTAAAAATTGTATTGTTCTCTAAATTTATCTCTATTTCTTTCAACTTACACGATTTTTTGAAAAGAGATATTGATTACTGTTTCGATATCGATAATCAGGCTTTCCTTTCAAATTTAATTACTACTGGAGATATGACGTAACAAAATCTAATATAGAATGATAAGAGGAGTTTAGCTTGCGAAACTATCTTATCTAAGCTTCTAATTTTGAATCCCTCTGCGGCATAAAAACGCAATACACAACGTAAAAAGTTCATAAAAATAGCGAGAAAGATCAGGTCCCCTGCTTTTCCTCGTTAGACGACAAAATCGATCGCTACGCCACGTGTTTGCTGCGTCACTGACTGAAGAAGCATGAATTAAAAATAATCACACGCGCGCCACAACACCATTATTGATATGGAATTAGCGGTTTGTATCGACGTTTCCGTACGTTTCCCGCGGGCGGCTTATCACGCAGCCGCGCAACGAGAACGAAACGGACATCACTGTGATGAAGCAAGGGAGCACAGGGGTAAACGGACACAGCGTAGACACGAGATCAAACACGGTGGGCAATCAGCGATGGCGATCGAACGAGAGATCGCTCCCGATTGAATCGCGGTCCCGTCTCTTGAATCAGACGTATATGCGCGTATCTGCTGGATGTTGGATTGGTCCATAGACCGACTTACTCAGTGGCTTTCGCAAAGGGCATTCCAATGAAGGTAGGGCTCAGTGTCTCGGTGTACATCTCCATTCCGGTTCCACGCAGGTAGTCATTCTGCCAAGCCTGCATATCGGGCGACTGGTACCAATCAACCAACCATTTCTAAATCACACACGCTCCTATGCATGTACGGATTGTGCGCGTATGTCCACAGTGAGGTGCTCGTGCCCGATTACTTCCGGTTAGGTGACGCGACGTGACGTGATGCGAATCTCAACTTCGCTTCCCGCGATTCACGTGACGATGTAACAGCGCGCGTGAATGAATAACGATTTGCACGATTTGCGAACCCACGTAGGTAGGAGTCGTCGGGAATAATCTTTTGAAATGACGATGTTCGAACATCTGCCATTTCGTAGCTAAGGAGCGCTGTGCGCTCGAACGTAAGTGATCGCACGATTGATAATCGATTTCGCGAAAAGGAAAATAACGGCTGATGGTGTAAGATCTGTTTTACATACGCGATCACTGTGAACAGTCCCGTAACAAAGACCTATACGAGGAATTGCGTATTCAGACATGCATAGACGAGACGGCAGGGTGCACTGCCGGAGAACGACGTTTTACTGACCGTCTTAAAGGAACGCATCGCGAAGAGATTGGCCATCATTGTGCTGAATCCAGGCGCGAGGCAGGACTGCGCGATAAAGCCTAGTTTCAACTCGGCCAGGCATATGACGTCGTCACCCTGCTTCCAGTCCCACGATGGAATGTTTAGTAAGTAGGCCTGGAACACAATATGGTCAACAGGATAAGAAACAATCGTCAATAGAAGCATATTATCTCGCAACGGAAAGAAAAAAGTATATCTAATTCTTGGCAGACACAAATATAATCAGACACCATATGAATCGCAGATACAAATCTCGATAAATGAAAATTTTGGAAAAACTTAACGTCATTTTGTACCTTCACTTTATAAATCGCATTCCGTTTGAAGTTAGATTTATCGCCGAGCTTCGTTTGCTCGACGATAGTTACCTTGTTGTGATACTGCATTAATTGTATGATAACGCGAATGTCATCCGAATAGTTCTTGATGGAGATGACGCGCATGATGTTCGCCGCGTCTTCCGCGTCCGGGTCCTGGCAGTACTTGTTCGCCAGTACCAAGCACGCGTCCGCGTCGTGTACCTAAAAAGCATTGAGATAATCCGTTTTGTGCCATCCGTTGTTCCGTTCTGTAATCGATTAATAGGCGGGAAAAATGTATATTAGGCAGGACGTTGGTCTCAAAGCGATAGCAAAATAGAATGGAAATTGTTCCACGAGTGTATACTCGAAACCAGTGTAATAAGTAATTTCGGATAGACAATGTTATTACACCTATTTGTAATTAGTATGTCTATTCTCTTAGAGGGAAATACACATAAAAGCATCGTGACATGCATTTTCAAAAAAAAAAGATTATCAAAAGTGCTTGAGTTTTGTGGATTTGATGTTAATATTAAAATGTAGTAAAATAAGATATATTTTCAATACCCGATATTTTTCATTACCGGAAAAAAATACAACAAAAATTTGGATGAATTAACGCTTAATTTTAACAAAGTGCTCAACTCAAAATTTGATTCTTTAGAAGACTGTAAAAATCACCTCAAACAATAATTGTTAAAAACATCTGAAATTACTTATTACATAATTTAATAGAATGGAGCGAAAAGATAAAACTATCGATCGATCAATCAATAAAATCGCTGTAATCAATAAAATTGTTTCCACTTAACAGCAAAGAGAAAAGCGACTGTTTGGAAACGCGTCGCGATCGTCGAAATCAGTACGTTGTGTGTAAGCTGCTAAATCTACGGATCGTCGATCTACAATTGTACTTGGAAAATAACGACTTCTTCTCATATTTGTACAAATTTCTTTTTTTTTTCCAAATTGGAAAAATTTTATATCATGGATACAAAGAGCATCGTCGAAAATACAACATATGAAATAGAAGACTCTTCAATATAAAGGGAATATGCATCTACAATATAAAAGTCATATAAAAGCATTCAATGAGACAACAATGGCTACTTAATATCGAAGATTCGCACGGCCAGTAGAGTGGATCGCTTCACAAAATAGATAAAAGAAGTCAAGTTAATTGAATTCATGAAAATTTAGCATCAAATCTGAATTTCATTATTTGCTTCGTTCACGTGATTTAATTGCCAATTATTATGCAAGTAACATGTCTACTACTGTTTTTAATTTTTAACGATTTACCACTGTCATATCAAGTTCACGCGTGATAAATTTTATCTGAAAGTTTATAGTTCTTAAATTACATGTAAGATTAATTACATGTAAAATTAATTAAACATATTAGAATTGAGAATATCTTTGACAGTGGGGAAATTTGCTCTGATATGAAATGAAATTTGCAAAAGCAGCGAAACGTAGAAATGTCTCTGAAATCTTCTTCGTGCGCACCTTCGACGCAGTCGCACGATTCGAACAATAATCAAAAATATGAAAGCGAGCCTCTACGGCACATTCCTTGGATATGCAAACATCATCGATCATTGGGGGTGGAGGTCAGTCGGTTCGTCTAGGGGTTCTATACATCTGGATAATGGAGAAGCGCCTCTATCTACATGCTAAATCTATCGGCTAACAAGATGTTGGCATTAACCTCGGTTGTGTAAAAAGAAACTACACAAACAGAGAACGTACCGTCCCGTCTTCGTCAGTGCAGGATCGATACACTTAACAGATACCACGATCGACTCTATTCCACCAGATACTAAGTCTCTAACAGAAACTACCGTCTGGAAAATAATCGGCTGGTAAACCAGTCTCTCCGCGAGAAATACACGGGCACTTACCCACTCGGGTCGACAGCAGGCATGGGTCTATCCAGTGGAGGATGCAATACACAACCTTAAAGGGACTTTTCTCACGTGGGTATGCATAAAAGTGTCTCCGTGTGCGTGTGCGTGTCTATGTGTAGGGGAAAATTTGACGTTGCTTTCCTCTCGGATTTGCTGCCGGGTATGTATAGAGAGAGGGGGATGAAATAGACGGAAAGATAGATAGAGATTGATAGACAGACAGATAGACTATTAGATCGGGACGACGTTACTCAGGCGAAATAGGTGGGGTCGAATCGGGTTTTTTTTTATCGTGGGCGTTCTCTCAGGTCCGCATCCCCGATTGCTTCGTATAAAACCTCGCAGATAATTGATCGAATCCGAGACCAGCCATCGCAAATTGACGAGACACGAAAGCGGACGGCAGTATATACGAAGACGCGCCGGTATAGGGATATCGTGGTGTAACATCGTCAATGTGTACGAGCATAAAGGGAAACATACAGGCAACAAACATCCTGGAACAATAGCGTTTGTTATCCGCACAACGTCATTTCCCGAACGTCTACCGATCGCCCACGGTAGCAGCTGTAACATCTCGCTACTTTCGCGGCATCGATTTTTCCAGCAGACTATACGAACACTCGCGGTCTATATCACGGTCTGCAAATGTCGCGTTCAAGCTTTCGCGAATTTATACAATATATATATAAAACGGAGGCGACATATGTGACACGTATAAATATTTATTTCAAAACGTGTATAAAAGTACTCGGAATTTCAACTAAACGGTTTTCTCTCGTTAGAATATGTATTACAAGATAAACTCGGAGATACAGAAAACTCTCTCGTATAACGTAAAACAAAGAACGACGATAGACCTAGATTAATACAATGAGATTCAGAACAACATTCTGAATTGATTAAAGTGTTAATTACGCGGCAATAAAGCGCTGGTACCGTGCGCGCCAAGATATGACGATCCGATGGGTCACAGGACGTCAAACATAGAGAAGGAGAGTAGAAATATAGTAAGAGTAAAGTGGGGACCGTTATATGTAACAGGATAGAGCTGTTTATAAAGTATATATATATATACATATATGTATATATACTTTCTTGTAGGACGTAGATTGTTCGATCGTGGTAACAAACTCACCTTAACCCGCTGTAGGTCAATCGGGTTCATGATGGTCCCCTGAAAGAACTCCACGGTGGTGAAGTGCCGCTTGAACAGTCCTTCCAGTTCGAGATCAGGCGGTTTCCTGAACGGATCCGACAAAATGATATGATTCCTTTTATAAATAACATTCACCTCAGCTGTCGACGGTCGCGTCCTTTTTTGCGAGAATATCGTCGAGCAGTAGCCCGACAGAGGAGTCGGTGAAGATTTCGTTAGAACGTAAATGAATAATACAAATTCGTCGTGCGTGCTCGCAACTTTTGAGAGAAAGTCATATATCGCACTGTCTTTGATTCGTTTAAATTCGTTTCAATGATTTTCATTCTAATCGAGCCAAATGCACGATAAATTGATTAAATTGTACGAGCTTATCCTCAAAAGAAACGAGTACGCTGATATATAATAATAATAAATATCTAAGTAAAGTCTCTACTGCAGCTGAGTCGGCTCCATAGCTCAATACAGCATACCATGCAGTCGCAGGCGGTTGCTTTCTACGTAAATATATATATATATATGTATGTATATATAGATACGTATGTATATCCTTCACCGTCCGGTGCCGCATCGTTTTTGTATTCACAAGGTAAACTTGAAAACGTCATTTTATGTGAGCATATTGCGAACTCCAGTACAGCAAACTTGAACAATCGAAATCCTGCAGCGGAAAACCGCGGGAAAACATGTGGCCGACGAAGCAAACTGTTCTCGTTCTCAAATCATGCCGCACCGAACGTTTCGACAGTTCGTGAAAGAAGAGAAGAGAGAGAAAGAGAGCGAAAATCGAGAGAGAAAGAGAGTAAATCTAAAACGTAGCGAGCATTCGGTGTGATCCGCGGGCGTATGCGTACGCACGAATCACCAGATACGAGAAATTCAATGTAAGAAGTAACGGCAGCGATATTATATAATGTATATATTAACATGAGACTGCATGACGTGTGACATAAATATATATGTATGTAAATATAGATAATCTATATATATATATGCATTAGAATAAGTAAATATATATATGTATATATATATATAATATATATATATATATGTATATATATTGATCGACCATCACGGCGTGTTATATCCAGGCGAATAACCGTGTAATAACCTAAAGAACTGCAAGAAAACAAGAAGCACGAGCGGCCACGTGGAGGGCATTGATGGAGGGTTGGTTGGTTGATGGAGGTTTTCGTGTGGTAGTTGTTCTAGGGTTCAGGGTACCTTGACGCGCTCCAGGTCCACGGCATTCATCATGGTGCCCTGAAAAAACTCCACGGTCGTGTAATGCCTCTTCAGGAGACCCTCCAATTCGAGATCCGGCTCTTTCCTGAAAAAAAGCAAACCAATCCTTGCGACTATATAGCGATCAGACTACACGGGCGACCGTGGAATGCAGCCTTCTCACTTATCCTCCACGTTACTGGATAATCCGATCTCTTGATGGAAAATCTTTGTTTTGTAATTTGAAACCTTGCTGGAGGATAACGAAATTTTTACGGTCGATAAAACGCCGAGCTAATGGAGTCTGATCGCTTTAAGTCGCTTGGCGACGGGAAATCTCTCGAAGGGCGACATACTTACCACGGAGTCGCCAACACAAAAAATAAAACATTATTTAGTATATGAGAGAAACAATGAAGAAATAAGCTAAAAATGAGAGACTGAAATCAAGTTGTTGTGATAATTAACAAATAACAGTTTTGTTTGTGTACGAATGAACAGTTGTATGTTTTATTAGTGTAAAATATATAAAGTTTCTATTTCCTGTAAAAATATAAATAGAGTATATGCTTCAACTAATGATACAAAAAACTGATTAATGACGTAAGATGATCAAATATGCGAGATAAAAATTTCATTATTCACATCGGGAAATAACCCTTTCGAGACTATCCACGATATCAATCACGAGATACACGAGACACACATTCTGATAGCGTCGAAAGAGTTAAATACCGTACTTGATGCGAGCTGGCAAAAAGTTTTACAAAAGCAGCGGTCATACCTATGCAAGAAGACAACTTCTACGTCGACGTCCTCGCGATCCTCGTGTAGGAAATCCTTGAGGAAGTGCGAGACCGATTCGTAGGTGATGTGGCCGCACACGACGATATGTCTGCCAACACAACGAGCATATTAGATGACATTCTTAAAGAGACGATATTGGTGAATAGGAAAAGAAAGGGAAACTCTCTCAAGCACAACTACCATGTACACGCTCTAACAATAAGTAGTATATGTATGTCAACTACGGACCCATATTATTTAAGTTCTAATTATATAAGTTCTTCTCTCTCACG